CGATTAAAATTGTATTAAAAATAATTGAAATTCTGGCGTGACTTTTATTATTTCTGAAAATAATAGAATTTCCAACAAAAAATTTTATTATTTGTGAAAATAATTGAATTTTAGCAAAGAAATTAATAAAAAATTTGCAAATAAATGAATTCCTGTGAAATTTTCATTACTTATGAAAATAATTAAATGTTTGCTTAGAATTTTATCTAAATTTTTGAAAATAATTGAATTTTGAAGAAGAATTTTATTACTTTTGAAGATAATTGAAATTTTGACGATAATTTTTTAAAGTTTTGAACGTAATTGAATTTCTGCAATCATTTGTAACTTCTCAAAAATTCATTTTTTTAGTGTTTCTAACTAAAATTCTTCTATAAATATATTATTTTTAATAATTAATTAAATACATATTAAAAAAATTTAACTATTTTCAGAAGAATTTGAATTCTTAAAATTTTTCAAAAATATAAGTTCTTTAAAATTTCTATACTTAATTCATTAAAAATTGAGATTTTCTAAAATTTTAAATTAAAACCTCTTGAAGTTGATCTAATATTTATAAAAATTGTATACTGAACTCTTTAAAAATTCAATTAATTATTTATTTATGTCTCATATTTCAATTATGAAATATTTAAGTAAAATAATTTATTCAATAAGTTCTAAGTAATAATTTTATGATAGTTCCTGAAGAATTAAGTTATGTAAAAAGAAATTATTGTCTGGAATAAGAAATTTCATAGTTTATTTCTTAGTTTATGAGGCAAATCAAAAAAGACACCAAAATTCAGTATTTTCTTATGAATTCCAAAAATTTAATTTTTTCCAGTATTTTTAATAAAAATCTTTGACTTTTCCTTGATTTCCCTGACCAATTCTACGTTCCCCGACTTTTCCCTAAATTTTCTGACTTCCCTGGCTTGGGAAACCCTCTTTATTTATTACTTGATAGACGAATTTCAAAATTAAGACAACATTTGAACAAATGTAATGTTTTTTAGCTGTAATTGGACTTAAAATGAGAAAAATGAATGAAAATGATTTTTACATAACAAAGGGCTAGCCTAAAACCAGGAAAACTTGTTAGGCCTTTGCTAAAGTTGTTAATTTATTCAATTTAAAAAATTTAATGTAATTTGAATTAAAAAAAAATCTAGCGTAAAATATATTTTAAATTTACAGATAAGAGATAAGAAATTCACCCTACTTGAAATAGGGCTTCAGTAGGGACCTGACAAGTTTTCCAATTTTCCATCAAGCGCCTCGTTCTGGCCCCACTTTTTAATAGGTCAAATTGGGGGAAAATTTCCACCCGTCCATCGCTAAATAGCAAAAAAAAAGTAGAAAAAAAACGCTACTTGTAATGTATGAGCAACAAAATGGCGACTAAAGAGACTCTAACGCCCGTGAAGAGGACAGAAGAGAACCAAATGGAATTGTAGGGGATTCCGTTGCTGCTTTTCCACCCACCAAACTCACTCCTCTCTCTCCTGGCAACCCCCCCTCTCTCTCTTTCTCCTCCACACACCCTTTCCAGTTCTACCTTTTTTCATTCCATCTCATTCCCTCTCATGACTTTATATATATATAATGTCGACCTTCTTTCTCGTGTCTATGACACGCTATCCACGGCCTTTCTCTCTTTCTCTCTCTCTTTACCTGCCGGCAGCAAAATGGAAAAGGTGGTACCCGACGGATTGGCGTCGCGACGCCGCGCGCACCTGACCCTATCCCTTGCGTTGTCTATTGCGAGGTGGCCATTTTCATTTTTTTTTAAAACGTTCCCCGAGTTCCCCAGTGGGCGTTTCTACACTTCCTCCAACCTCTTCAACCATTGGCTCTCGTAAATGCCTAATATATCATGTCATAAGAAGCTGGAAAATTATTGTCCCCGTTTAACATTCTATATAGACACAAGAGTGGTGCGCGCCACTGATGATTCTGATCGATAAACGCAAACTCGGGATTGGTTGTTTCTGATTCTAAGTTTTAGGGACAAGAATTTTTCGGTCACATGCAAATTGTAGGGTGAATTATTTTTTTTTTTATAATTTACACGTGGTTTCTTTATATTTATTCGACGTTCACTTTATCAATTGCTTTATAAAACATTTACAGGGAAAAAAATTACTGTTATTCTTCTAGTTCCAGTGATGTAATAATCGCACCTTGATTTATTCTCGTGTAAGAAATAACGAAAAAAAAATGGTTCCTGGCGTTGTGTTTACTTTGCCCTGATTTGTTCCTGAATATTTAATTAAACAGGGTTGCCACAAAAATTTAATTTCGTTTTTCCCTGATTTCCAGACAAAATTTTCACTTTTTTCCTGACCCAAAAAGAATATTCTGATTTTCAAATTTAAACCTTTTGAAATTCAATAACTTTTAAAAATATTATTATAAACCATGAAGATATCGAGCACTCCGAGTCGAAGACTCGGAGTAATCGCTGTCTTCATGTTTTATAATCATTTAAATTTCTATAACATTTTTCAACAAAAAAATTAAATTATTCACAAAAATTTTAATAAAATCCTTCGCATAAATTCAATTATTTTTATAAGTAATACAATTTATCGCATTAATTCAATTATTTAACAAAATGTAATAAAATTTGTTGTAAGAATTCAATTATTATCATAAATAATAAAATTTTTCCTAGGATTTAAATTATTTTTAATACAATTTTAAATGAATTCCTCGAAAAATATAATTATTTTCAAACATTTCTTGAAAGAATTCAATTCAATTCAATTTTCATAAATAATATAATTTGTCTCAGGAATTCAATTACTTTTAATAGAATTTTATGAAATTATTCGAAATAATTGAATTATTATTCTTTCAAATTTTCATAAAATGATTAAATAAAATTCCATTATTTAAAAAAATTAAATAAAATTTGATGCAAGAATTCAATTATTTTAATAAATAATAAATTTTTCTCGAGAATTGAATTACTTTGAAATTCAATTCTCAAGAAAACTTTTTCGAAAGAAATCAATTATTTCAAATATTTTAATAAAATTCCTTAAAAGAAATGAATTATTTTCTAAAATTTTGATGGCATTTATGTATAGGAATTAAATTATTTTCATATATAAAAAAATTCATTGCAAGAATTCAATTATTTTTAATACATTTTTAATTCAATTATTCGAAATAAATGAAGTCTTCTTTTAAATTTTCATAAAATTATTCGAAATATTCAATTGTTTTAAAAAATTTAATAAAAATCGTTTTAAGAATTTAATTATTCTCATAAATAATAAAGTAATAAAATTTTTCCTAGGATTTAAATTATTTTTAATACAATTTTAAATGATTGCCTCGAAAAATGTAATTATTTTCAAGCATTTTTTGCAAGAATTCAATTACATTTCACAAATAATTAAATTCTTCGCTGAAATTCAAATATTTTCAAAATCTACTGTTTTAATAAAATTTCTCAAAAGAATTCAATTATTTTCATAAATAATAAAATTCTTCACAGGATTTCAATTATTTAATAGAAATGTAATAAATATTGTTGCAAGAATTCAATTGTTTTCCTAAATAATAAAATTCTTTACAGGATTTCAATTATTTAAAAAAAAATATAATGAAAATTCGTTGCAAGAATTCAATTATTTTCCTAAATAATAAAATTCTTCACAGCATTTCAATTATTTAAAAGAAATGTAATAAAATTCTTTGCAAGAATTCAATTATTTTCCTAAATACTAAAATTTTTTAAAGGATTTCAATTATTTTTAAAAAATGTAATAAAAGTTCGTTGCAAGACTTCAATTATTTTCCTAAATAATAAAATTCTTCTCAGAGTTTCAATTATTTTTAATACAATTTTAAGTAAATTCTTCAAAAAATGTAATTGATTAAAAAAATTTTATTAAAATTTTTCGATAGAAATAATTGAACAATTATCAATTATTTTTAATTTTTTATCTGAAATTTCATCTGAAATTCATTTTTAAAACAATTTTTATTAGAAAATTCTACGAGAATTCAATTATTTAAATAAAAAAATGAAAAAATTATTGAATAAATGAATTTTTTTCAAATTTGAATTCTCATAAAGAATTTTATCAACAAATTTTTAAAAAATCGAATTTTTTCAACGAATTTGAATAAAATTTTCAAGAAGAATTGCAGCAGTTTTCGAGGAATTCGGTTAAAATTGTATTAGAAATATTTCAAATTCTATGATGAGTTTTATTATTCATGAAAATAATTGAATCTTTGTAAAAACTTTTATTATTTATGAAAATAATTGAATTATTGCTAAAAAATTTATAAAAAATTTGTAAATAGTTGAATTCCTGTGAATTGTTTATTATTTATAAAAATAATTGAATTTTGGAGAAGAGTTTTATTATTTTTTAAGATAATTGAAATTTTGACTAGAAATTTTTAAAATTTTTGAAAAAATCGAATTTTTGCAAAGATTTGTAACTTCTCTAAAATACAATTTTTTAAATGTATGATTTTTAATAATTAATTAAATATATATTAAAAAATGAAACAAAACTAATTATGAATCCTGCACATTTTTTTCCAGTTTAATAAAAATCCCTTACTTTTCCCTGATTTTCCTGACCTGTGGCAACCCTGAAAAAGTATATTCTGAAGGAAAAGAATTCTATTACTTTTGAAAATAATTGAAATTCTGCAATGAGTTTTAGTATTTATGAAAATAATTGAATTATTGCGAAGAAATTTATAAAAAAAATTGTAAATAATTGAATTCCTGTGTAATATTTATTATTTATTAATTATGATAATAATAAAATGTTTGCGTAGAATTTCATTACAAATTTTTTTAAATAATTGAATTTTTTCGGAGAATTTCATTAAAATAGTAAACATTAAAAATCACTAAATTGAGGGAACTTTTTAAAAATAATTGAATTTCTAAATAAATAATAAAAATAAATACTATAAATAAAACGATATGATTAAAAATTAAAATTAATTAAAATTTCTTTTTGTTTTTGTTTCAGACGTTGGAATTGAAATGCTTCTCACGCACGGTGTGGAATTTTTCAAGCATTTTGGGTTTTCCTGGGACGCACTACATTTGACGTTAATGTACGTTATAATAAAAGACTCGAATGTAAACATGAAAGAAACGATAATGAGGATCGTGAACGGTAAGTTTTGTATTTTATTTCTATTATTTTGTCTTTCATATTAAATTCAATATTTAAAAAAACCCTTTCTGTTGTTAAAATGTGAAAAATATAAATTTATAATAATTGTAAATTTTTCACTACTTTTTCATAAAGCTAATGTTACAAAAATGATAAAAGTTCAAGTATTCTTTATCAATTACGTCAAAAAAAAGTAATTACTATACTTCCTTAATGATAAAAAGACAATATTGTGTTAAAATAATTTTTTTTATTTTGTCACGTTTTCTGTCTGTTGTAATTATATATGTTTAATTCCAAATACTTTTAATTTAATTTGCAAATACTTTCAAATTTTCGATTTTCAACTTTGTTAAAAATTTTACAACAAAAAGGTGTTTTTTTTAAAAATTGATAAAATTTTCGAAATTAATTTTATTCTAAAAAGTATTAATAGAAATAATATCAATTTAACTAAGTTCTCAAAATTTACTATTGCAAAAAATGATAATTGTTCCCTTTTTTTCCTCAGCTATAAGATGGTGTCATTTGTAAGATCAAACATTTCCATTAAATTCAAAAAACAATATTAAAAATCTAGTCAAAAAAAATTTAGTCACTATTAACTAAAATGTCTGTGATAATTTCTGTCATAAAAAATTTTTAATCAAAAATTATTAAAAGAATCAATTTTTAAAAAATGTTAATTTTACAAAACGCTTATTTTACTCGTAATTTATCGAAATATATTTAATAGACACAAAAGTGAGAAATTTCAACTTGAAGATTTAGAAAAAAAAATAAATTATTAATTTAAATTAAAAATTATTAATTTTACCTTTAAAATTCAGAAATTAAAAATTAAAAATTCTTAATTTAAAATTAAAATAATCTTCAAAAAGAAATTAAAATTATTTCTCTGATAAAATTTTCCCAAAAAATATTTATAGGAATTTTTTAATTTGCAATATCGGCTGAAAGTTTTAAAAAAAATTGTCGATGTCCACTGCTCATCAAAATGAAGATCATCAATGAAGATTAAAAATGGCGAATACAATTATCAAAGGAAGATTAAGAAAACAACATGGGGGGGGGTTAATTAATTTTAATTAAAAATTAAATTAAATTAAAATTTTAGTATTCAGTACGAGAGTTCTTTTATTCTTTTGCAAAAATTCGTTGCTGTGTAAATAATTATTTTACTCTGTATGTATATATATAGTCCGCGCAAGAATTTTTGTGCCGCGTTCTTGAGACGGTGAAAAGTTCCTAAAACGAAAAACTACACGCGATCGGCATTTATAGTCATTGGCATTTGAATATTTTTTCTTTGTTTTAATTTATGATATAGTGTATAAAAATTTAATTCACGCACAATACGAGTCTCCTTGACTATGAAGAATGAATTTTCGGGAAAATAAACCAATTCGCACATAGGAAAGGTAATTTTATTTTGATTTTTACTTGAGAAAAAAAATAAAGTCCTAAAAATCGATTCATTGTTGTTTTTTGTTATTTGAAATCAAAGCTAGGCAGCTTTTTTTATTAGGAAATCCATACAATAGAATTTTTTTTAATAATACATTTTTTTACTGTTCAATATAATTTTTGTATTATTATTTATTATTAATAATAATATTATTATTATTGTTTACTATTTTTTATTAATTATTATTATTTAGTTATTATTTTTTTAATTCTTATTATTTATTTATTGTTTTTTTGATTATCATTTTTATTTATTGTTTTTTTAATTATTATTTTTATTTATGTTTTATTTTAATTTTAATTTTTTGTTATTATGTATTATTTTTCCTTTACTAATTTTGCATTTTAATTTTTAGTCAAAACACTTTTTTCCTCAGTACATATTTATTCAAAATCATTTAATAGAAATTGAAACAAATTTGCGACTTTAGGGTGGATGAAAAATATGTTTATTAATACCTTTTAGATTTGAAAATCTTGCGAATTATCTCTTTTTGACATTTACACTAATGCAGAAATTGGAGAAATGCCAAAATTGTCTTATTCACCTTAATACTTAAATTATTTGCATATTTTCCCGACTTGAAGTTACTATATATTATATAAGAAAATTAAAAATAAATTTCAATTTTCTTCGTATTCGCAAATATTCTACTAATAACTTTCTTATAAATAAAACTCACTGTATATACTTTTTTTTATTTTTACATCCTGTAATTTTCAAAAATTCATTTTTCTGATTCTATTTTTATACGCACTGAAAAAAAAATTATTTGATTCATGTAAATATTTAATTTATATAATAGTCAAGTTATTATTTGAATCAAATAAATTTTTTTTCAGTGCATTATTTTAATATTTCATTATTGTAATATTTTTTAATGTTATTTTCCAGTATTCTTTTTTAATATTATTTTTTATTATTATTTTTTAATATTATTTTAATAATATTTTTTAATAATACTTTTACTTTTTCAAGTTTTATTTATTCATGGAAAAAATATTTTCTTGAAATCAAATAATTAATAATTAAATTTTTTTCCATGTTCAGTTTTCTTTTTCTGGGCAAATAATATTTTTTTTTTTTTTGTTTACTGGCAATGCATGCAATGCTTCTAGAGGAAAAATCGAGGGTAAAATATATGTATATAGTAAAGTTTGAGTCGTAATCTATACGACGATCGGGACATGTGGAAACGTCATGAACAAGACCACGCAAGCTCACCATAAATGATTTTAACGACAGTCGTTTAGAAAATGTGCGGTCATAACCAATCTGCCAACTCTGTGCTTACTCAACAAAATTAAAATTCTATAATATATTTTCCAAATTAAATTATAAAATCACGATAAAAAAAAATTATACAATCTTCAAGGGTATAATTATAAATCTGGTTTTAATATTAATATTTATACTACTAACTATCGTGGTTAAGCTATTAGTTTTATATTTAATAAACTACTAGTTAAACTATTAAAATAGTTTTAATATTAGAATATTAATTAAAATATAATATAATAATTTAATTTATTTGTAATTTTAATATATTTATAATATTAATATACTAATAATATTAATATAATTATATTAATATATTTATAATATTAATATAATTATAATTATTCCTTAATTATAATTATATTAATATATTTATAATATAAATATAATTTAAATAATACTTTCAACAATTTCTTTAATAATAGGACTTTTGTCCCGTTTACAAATTAAATAAATTAAATGAATGCGTAAGAAAATAAAAAATCGGTGAGAAAAAAAATTCGCACCTTTTTTCATATAAAATATGAACTCTATATTGTATATAATTCAGGGTGTAATGAATATATTAGGCGCGTGAAAAAGGATGATACTTAATTTGTTAAATAATCACCTACTCGACTTCTGTTTGCGCCGAGTAGTCATTATAAATCGCTTAAGCTACTACACCGAGAGTATAATCGATGAACTTCACCCTCTTGTCATAATATCATACTTCATTATTCTTTATTATAAAGGTGTTGAAACTTTTTTTCAATACCGAATTTTTCATTTTCTTTTTTTAACAATTAATATTCTCTCCGCAAGTTGATTCCCCTTTTTTTTACTGTGTAAATTTTTTTTTTAACTGGTTTAGAGAAAAAATTGACTAGTTTAAAAAATATTTAATTAATACTCAACGAAAATTACTAGGAGAAATTTAGTTTAAAAAAACAGTTTTATAAAAATTTACCTAGTAATTAAAAAGAATTTATTTAAAAGAATTATTGGTGTAAAAAAAATTTGGATTGAAAAAAATGAGTGGTTGGAAAAAATATACTTTGAAAAAAAATTGTTTTTCTGGTGAAAAAGAAGATTCGTTGAAAAAAATTTGGTTTTGAAAATTTACTAGTTTAAAAAATATTTGGTTTAAAAAACTAGTCAGTTTTTTAAACCAAATGATTTAAAAAAAACTTAGTTAAAAAAATGAATGGTTAGACAAAAATTTAGTTCAAAATTAATAGTTTAAAAAAATATAATTAACAAAATTAATAGTTTAAAAAAAGGTAGTTAAAAAAATTACTAGTTTTAACCAAATTTAGTTGAAAAAATTACTAGTTTAAACAAAATTTAGTTAAAAAAATTACTACTTTAAAAAAAGGTAGTTAAAAAATATTTCATTAAAAAAATTACTAATTTTAACCAAATTTAGTTGAAAAAATTACTAGTTTAAACAAAATTTAGTTAAAAAAATTACTAGCTTAAAAAAAGTAGTTAAAAAATTTACTAGTTTAAACAAAATTTAGTTAAAAAAATTACTAGCTTAAAAAAAGTAGTTAAAAAATTTACTAGTTTAAAAAATATTTACTAGTCTTTTAAAAAAATGACTCTAAAAATAATAAACAATAAATAAAATAATTTGATTTGAAAAAATCAAGTTTACTAAAATTACTAGTTTTAAAAAAATTTAGTTAAAAAAATTACTAGTTTCAAAAAAGAAGTTAAAAATTTACTATTTTGAAAAATATTTACCACTTTTAAAAAAATTACTCCACAAGTATAAAATAATTATTTGAAAAAAACAAGTTTCGAATAATAACTAGTTTCAAAAAAAATTTATTTAAAAAATTCCCTACTTTAAAAAATATTTACTAGTCTTTTAAAAAAATGACTCTTATAATAATAAATAAAATAATTTGAGTTGAAAAAATCAAATTTACAAAAATTACTAGTTTAAAAAAATAGCTTAAAGACAGTTACTAGGGTTTAAAAAATATTTAGTCGAAGGTAGAAAATGTTTTAAAAATATTCGAGAGAAATTGGCAAATAGTGCAAAAAAATAATTTATCTCTTTCTTTTTTTCTTTTGTACACGAATCATGAAATTTTCCTTCACCGAAAATGTTTAATGTAAGCATGGCCGCATCGACATTTCAATGGAGCTGATTATTTCGTTAATGAAACATGACAAAGGTTAATTGGTCAGCTATTAATCTTTCGCTGACTCGATAGCTTGATTGCAAAACATAGGGTGAAAGTTCACCATACATAGTTTCTTT